ACACACAGTTTTTCTGTCCTCACTGTGTGCGTCTTTGTCCTTCCGTGTCTGAAATCTGCATAATGTTGTTCGACCTTCCAGATTAATTATTCATGTACTGTTACCGTCCCCTGTGAGCCGTCTTGTCAGAAATCTGCTTGTTCTTTTCCTCTTCTTGGGTTCACGCTGCCACCGTCTTATAACCCCCCCAAAAAACCGTTTTAGATGTTAACATAGTTCATCGTAACCCAGGGAGCAACGATGGTTTTTAGTACTGAGATGCTTCACTATAACCCCCCCCCCGCCTGTGAGTAGACAGCTGAGCATGTGAGAGTGTCCCCAGTCAAACCATTTGAGTCATGAGTCTATTTAAAGTCCCTGGGTGCCCCTGTAGTTTCTTTTCTTCTGTTTAGCAGGTATAAAAGCAGTTGTCTTCATGTTGGTGTTAGACTAAAGGTTGAGAGATATACTTTGAGTAGACCTACTGACATCTTTTGGGGGGGGGTGTTAGGTGAGAGATGCAGCAACTCTGAAGTTGGACAACATAAAACAGTTGATTTTTGTAAAAGCTGTCCACACGTTTCAGACGTCACTCGTTCCGTCATGTGAGGTTCAGATGTGGTAGCCAGGCTTGGAGGTGCTGTTTGACGTCAGTGGATGCTGAGCTGTGGTCTCTCTGTTACTCGCTCGAGCTTTGATCGTGAACTCTGGTTCAGCTTTGATGTGAGTCAGCACATTGGAGGTTGGTGTGTTGTGACTTTTAAAGGCGTTTCAAACAGTGTTTGCTGTGTTCATGTTTTTCTGGTCCCACATAAACCAAATGGATGAGACTGTATGGAAGATTTGTTTGTTAGATATTTCCAAAGGAGTCTCAGCTCACCAAGCTAATAATAGGGAATTGGCTGTATCTCAGTCATGTCATATAACGTTATGCACTGTATGTGTTTGTGTTCAGTACTAAAGAATAGCAAATCCACCCTGCTGTTGTATATTTAATAGGCAGGATATCAGATGCTGATGATTATTTTGAAGCTGATAAATAATGAAAGAATGTTTCTGATGCTTGTTCATAATTTTATTTCTCTTTATGATTCTATTCATGAGTTGAGTAGCTCAAGTCTCTCCCCAGCTCCTCAAAGGGAAAACACAGGTGGAGAAAACAGCTAAACCTGTCTTAAACACATTTCTGGAGGCAATTGTTAGAAGAAGCACATCTACTGTATGAACCTGTATGAAGAACCCTAGTTGTAATGTTGAGTGTCAGGCTTGGCATTTTATTCTGGTATCTAATTCAGTTCCAGCCAGGATCGTGCCATCTTTAAAACTGACTGATGGTGCGTGTCTACATGGGTGTTATTCTTTGTGAGTGATCACCCCAATTCCCAGCACTGGAATCTCGATGGGAGAGCCACGATATGATGATTGGCAAATACTCCAATAAGGGTGCAAACACTGACGTGTACCTGATTGGCTGTTTGCTCCCACCACAAACATCCTAAAGTAAATATCGCTCTAAATGGCACAAGTAATGGGTGACATCACCTTGTTTTTCATGAGCCCCGCCGCTTCATAGTGTAAAAAGCTACAGCCACAAAAAAATTAATGAAAACGTCCCATTATTAGGGACCCCAACAGGTCAGAAACACCAGCAACTAGAAAAACACTGCAAAGCACACAAAATGCAAACGAAGTGGGAAAAAATACAATGGAAGTAGGAAAGAAAATCTCAAAAAACACAGAAGTGTTTTGGGGAACAGCTGTGGAAGTGACAGAAACCAAAACATGCGACGCACCGAGACACGCTTAAAAGAAGCAGAGGATTCCTGTGAGGGACAAAATAGATGCTGTAGATGCACGTTTGTCTCCCAACAACACTTCTGTTTGCTTTGTTAGGGTGTGTGGGGTTTGTTTTCTTGCAATGTGTTTGACCTCTCGGGGCCACCGTACAGCTTTGGTAAACAGTTGTGCCTTCTTTGGTTCAGTCACTGAGTGCAGGACTTCTAAATTGTGGGCCGTTGCTGATAAAGATTAGTGCGAGTTACTGAGGAGAGACTTGTGATACTCACTAACACCCTCACACCATTACTAACCTCACTCATCACTCACTCTTCTCTGCTTCTTCCAACCTGGTTGTGTAGATTGTAATCACCAACCTGTGGACAGCAGTGTAAGCTAGTGATAGCTCAGCCCCACTCTTACACCCACACACAGAAACCCACTTAGGCCAGCCTCCTAACCGTCACTCACCCTGCTGCCTGTTTTCAGGTCTTGGAGCGACACGGAGAACTTGTACTCCAACGATCGCAGCATCCTGACGCTGTCGCCCATCGAGGCCACCCACTGCTGACTCCCGGGGCCGCTGACTGTAGCACAGGGGGTCGGGGGGAGAGCCACCGCTCCATTATGAGTCATAATCACACCCCCCGCAACCTCAGCCACCATTTTCGAAACAATTTCATTTTAAACTCGGTTAATTCCCAGCAGGATGCAGCACTGCTACAAATGGGATAAGGATCCAAAGAACTCGTTTGAGTCTATGCTGAGAGGAACGTCAGATGGGAGCGAAAACTCTGAAGGAAATGGAACATGTGGTGCGAGCTATTTGTGCTGCTACGTGTACGCTTGAAGATCCGGTCTGTGTCTGAGCTGTGAAATGCCTGGATTCCTGCTGCTACTGCTAGCAGCGGATCTGCAAGTCCATCAAACTGGAAAACACCCTCCATAAAATCAGTTTTTAGTCACGTGAACTCCTCTGGAGCCCTTTCATTGTCAAAACAGCGATTTCTGACTGAGTACACTTTTTGCTGCGAGTGTCAAAGTGAGCATCCAGAGGATTTGTCAAGTCGACAGCAAGCCAGGATCATATACGTAGCAAAACATCCTGTTGCTTCCATAAACTGCTACAAAAACTCTTCATTCAGACCTCCCACCACAGCCCTGCAGCATCCAGAACATGAAGCCTCATCTCTACCGCGGTACCAAAGACCAAAAAGGATTCCGACTGGAGTTTAAAAGGAAAAGTGTTTATTTTTTTGTGCCTGATTGTACAGAAGCTTATATTGTTAAAGGAGACTTGTTGTTGTTCATGCTGCTTTTGTCGTCTGTTCTGGCCTCTTTGTCCCCCCCCACCCCTCCCAGTGCACCACTGTGAAAGAGGCCCAATGTTTTAAAAAGCCATACGTTTTTGAAGAGGTCAGATTATTGGAGGTACTGCAGATGGACGCTTGTGGGGGCTTGTTGTTAAATTTGTTCTCCTCGAATGCCTTTTGTCACCCAGCCCGGCGACCAGAAGCATCTCAGCATTAAAGCCCACGAGGTCTGGCAGAGTCATCCATGTCAGCTGCCTAAAAATACGTCCGATTTGACACCATTATTTTATTTATGCTTTTTCCGGTGAGGCTTTAACGGTGAGATGCTTTTCCAAACCGTGGCTGATGCACGTCGACCCAAGACAGCAGAATGTGTTAAAGTTCAGAGGGGAAAGGAAAAGCAGAGCATTTGCACAAATCACATATCAAAATTATTTTGTTGGGTTCCTTTCTTTCTTTCTTTTTTTCATCGGTAAAAGTCATTGTCACCGTTCACATCTGAAACCATTTGAATCACATTTTTTGCTGTTACATTATTTTATTTCTCCCCCCCCACCCCCCATGTGTGTTTGTCTCCACCTGCTGTTGGAGGTGTGTGTGTGTGTGTTTTTGTTTTTTCTCTGTTGATTGAAGGAAGTACGGTCCATCATAGCGTATGTGCAAGCGGGATGTTGGTGTGATATTAAATACTTAGCAGGGCCAAAAAGGATGTTTCACTAAGATCACTACCACACTGTTGCTCCACATTTTACACAGTTGACCTCATATCAGCTAATAAAATATCTACCTTGATGCACCGCTGGGCTCACAGTGGATAAAGGAAACTATAACTTAATGCAGTTTTATTCAATAGATTACAAAGTTTCTGTGAACACAGTTGTGTTATTCCACCATGTGTGCGTGTTGTGTTAAACTTGATCTTGATTTAACAGAAAGTCTTAGTCATGATTTCTGAGCGTGGAGCTGGGAAGACCAGGATGTAACCAGCAGAGCAAGTTGCATTATGGGAGCTGTAGGAACCACTTTAAGCCTGGATATCCATGCCTCTGCAGTGTTTTACTGGGACTCCTTGTCTGGCTGCTTTTTGAACTCAATGTGGATGTTTGATTCACCATCATCCCTTTAATACCTTTTTAAAAAAGGGACTAAAATACGCTGATTTCTTTTAGTTTCCTTTTTTTAAACTAGAAGATGGCTTTAAAAACACTTGGCGCCTCGCACAGCGGCATCTTTTCCCTGACCCTCCACGTCTTTCCAGCTCCACGACCCTCCTCCTGTAACACGCATTTAGTTGATCTTAAGTCAAAACATTCCCTCTGTGTGAGATCTTGTAAGAGCCAGTGCACATCACAACTTGAAACATTGTTTGCTACACACACTAGCACATGACTGATGTTTTAAAATAGACGTAATAAAGTCCTCTAATGCTGGGGAAACAGCCCACATCACAGCGAGCTGAGGTAGCCGCGTGGGTGATGTTACGACATTCGTTTTTGTTCAGGTTGAACCCGTACACTCGTGTGAAGCAATAATCATTGTCACGATATGAGTCTGCTAAAAGGTCGGGTGATGTCATCACTGACCCCACCTCCCGACACCACATCGACCCAGATAACAGAGCGACCACTGAGCTCGGTGTTTGGGGGCATCAGCACTGCACACTGCAGAGTCTCTGCATGATATTTTGGAGCAGATGGCAGGAGGAGGAAACGCGAGTCCTTCCTGACCAAAGGCAAGTCACACAAAGCCCAAAACACCTGCAGTGTCAGTGCGGTTCTGATGCCCCCTTGTGCTCAATGTGGACACCAGTAGTGTCCAAAATAATGGTGTCACATGTTGGAGGTGGTGGTTACGTGGCTCCAAAACAGCCTCCCTTTTCAAAGTAGCAGAGTTGATTACATAACAGTCTCTGTTAGACTGAAACAAAAGTAATAACAGCTCGAAATTTATTCTCCACACTCCACCACAGCTGTGACGGCTGGAAATGTTTTTAATTAATGTAATCCACTACTAAGTGGCACCAAAGTGATCTTTTCACAGCTGTTCTGTGCCCCGGGTTCCAAACAGCCGTGAAAAGAGCTTGTGTGAAAACACGGACCAGATCCTATAAGGCGCTGCAGCACTGACGTCATCTGGAGGCCTTGTATCTGAGTTCAGATACAAGGCCTGGAGGGGTTTTGTAGAAGCAGATGATTACTCAGTCACATAACTCAGAGTGGTGACTTAATATTTCATCACGCCTCAAGCCCCCGTGATCTTCACGTCCAAATGAGAACAAATGCCGTCAGGAATACTGGTCATGTCCATCCACTGAGGCATGAGTGGAAATTGGTACTAAAGATCAAACCACTTGTTTAAGTTGAAAAGTAACATCAGAGCTGGAGGCTGATGACTTCAGTGCCAAGGTGCTCTTTCAAAATAAAAGTTTGCAGACTTGCATGAAGTTACAAAACCCCTGATCGTAAATAGAGGGAGTTCAGATTGAAATGTCAGCTGCCAGTGTCGTGCATCCTGTCACTCTGAGCCCATCAGAAGGATGCGGGGATGCATGTCAGCGCTCAGTTTGACTTCATGTTTGTTCCCTCCTCATCAGTAAGTCGTGCTGCACCTGAGCATTACTACATAATTTCTTCTGTTATCTGATGCTGTTTGTCTGTCCTCTACTGTCTGTAAACCTGTCTTATAGCTGAAGATGCTGTTCTATTTACGAAATAAAAACATTTTTAAAGAAACTGGTCTGTGGCCTCCACTCATTTAAAAACAGTCGTGGGAAGTTGGACCCTCACCAAAAGCAAGTGGAGCAGCTTACCACTGATAACGCTCCATGGAGTTAATGAGGGAGAGACGGCACAAGACGTGCAGCACATAGCTGAGAGGAATGAACACAGACTCCACCTACATGAAGATCCATGAACATGCTGGGATACTGTCCATTTTTATTGCTTTCATCAATAATGTGAAGTGCTGCAGTCGTAAAAAGAAATTCCCTCAGTGTGAGAATTTTTAGGCAGAAAACCAGAGTTTAGTGCAACCTTTCAGTTAGTCATGTCACATCCTAGTAAGCTACACTCTACGCCCTACTATTGTGTTGGTCCCCCTTTTGTTCTCAAAACATCCCCAACCCTTTAAGGCATGGACTCCACTAGACCCTTGAAGCCGTACTGTGGTATCTACAACCCTTACTGACAGGGGTGTGGTCCTACTGACTGACAGTTTGTCCCAAATAATGCCTGCTAGACCTGGTCTGCTATGAATCACTACACTGGACCTCTTATATGTGTGCATCCATGCTGTTGGAGTGTATTAGTAGTACAGATCATTTCAGAAGTGCTATGGTTCATTGCTTAACACCAATTGGTTCTTAGTTTATAAATACCAGTCTTCTAACCAAGCTAAGTAGGTTAGCTGAGAATGTAGCAAACCATCCTACCATCCGTGTAAGTCAACTGCTAGCATCAAAAACAAGCGCCAGCACTGAAGCTTCAAAATGCAGGGGCCCACACTGAGTGAGATCACCAGGATTTAAACAATATATGAACAGGAACTGGCACGAGGTAGTCACCAGCCCACGCCTTTAAGTTTCCGGCTGTTCTGTGTTTAACAGGCTTAACAAGCTTAACGGAGTGTGTTGAACAAACAGTTTCAGCGAGTGAGAAGTGCTGCAGTGGCTGCACCTGTAAAAGCAGGTGCACGTGGACCGTCTCAGCTGTTTCCAGCGTGAGGCAGCGATGCTCACGGAGCGTGAAGCCCGAGTCACAGTCGCGTGGATGAAGTTAAGATCCTCGGTGAAGCAGGCATTTTCACATCCCGTCACACAGCATTTAGGGCTCGGCACAGGCGCGCAGCTGTTCCCATTAGTCGCTCTGAGGGAGGCGACGCCAGGACACGACAGCCACAAACACTCAAAACACAGGCGCATCAGTGACGACACGGGACAGTTTATACTTTTAAAAAA